TGGCTGGCGCCTTAGCCGGTTGAGCCACAGGCGCCGAGCCGGGGAAGGACTTTCTAATGAAGCAGCTGTTGCAGAGGTGGGGCTGTCACAGCACTCCTAAGTGACAGAACAAGGGTGCAAACTCTCGTGACTCCCAAGCCCACACTGCTGTCCACCACAATCCATGCCATCTTTTCCTCCCTCGCTTGCCTAAGGCCCCTCCAAGCTGCTGGTGCCTTCTAGTTGGGGGCAGAGGAGGCCCTGGTCACAAAGTGGCCAGCTGTAATGCTGCAGTGCAGTGGAAGATGTCTGTGGACCTGTCTGTGCCTAGAAGATGGTCAGGAAGCTGACCTTGTAACCGCCCCAGGTGAACAAGATAGGGAAGAGGGCAGATGGCCTGGGAGGGGACTTCCTGGTAGACAATGAGGAACACAACACCCCACTTCCTATCCAGTATTGAACCCTGGCTCACCTCTATCACAGCCAAATAGGCAGTTTTCTATCTCCATTTTTATTGAAATACAAAAAGTGCAAATGGTGAAATACATGATTCATGCCAAGAAGTCAGGAAATGTGAATGTGAACACTTGATTCACAGTACAAGTGCCCTCCCAGGTACAGACCAGTAGGGCAGGGGACAGGAGAAAGACCCAAGAGATCCAAATGGCTCCCCAGTGAGTGGGACTGTGAGCGACATTTGATACACAAGGACAGAAAGCAGAGCGCCCCAGGCTAGAGACACACAGACTACTGAGAATCAGCAGCAGCTCGAGGCCCCAGGAGGCCAGATATGCAGGTAGCTGGGGGAACAGCCCAGTGAAGTCAGGCCAGGCCCCGCCCGGCCTGCAGATGGGGCTGGGCTGGTCAGTGAGGATTCCTGCCCAGCCAAGGTTGTGGGGGCAGGGTCACTGCAGGTACTGCCCTGATACCAGGGCATAGACCCCATAGTTCATGAGAAAGGAGTATAATTCTAAGAGACACAGCTAGAATGAGGGTTAATAACCATCACTGGGGTCTAGGTTTTCTGAAAAACAACATACTCCCTTGGGGAGATTGGTAGGACCCACCTGTCGGGGACTGATCTATCAGCACAATCTCTGCCCCTCCTATGGGCACTATGAGCCTCCACCCTAGCCCCTTTAAGAGTCCTCCAGCTGGAGGAAGGAGCTACCACAGAGGCACTGAGTCACTTCTGGCCAGAGTGACCCCACAATGGACAGTTCTAGAGCCTGTAGGCTGAAGCAGGCACAGAGGGGTGGTCACTGATTGAACCAGACACAAGGATTTGGCAGGGAGGCATACATTTCAATGGATGCTGGGACTCAGCCCTGCCATCCAAGCTGCCAGTCCTGGCAGAACCAGGAGGTCAGGACACCCTGGGGGTAGTACCACTTGGGAAGGACTGACCCAGGATATGTGGCCAAGGAGTTAGGAGGAGGTAGCAGGCTCTGTTCCTCAGCTGTGAAAGACCCAAGGCTGAGCCGCTGGAGGCAGAACAGGAGCAGGGTGCCTGTGTCCAGGCCTCCACACGGAGAGACTTCTATAAAGCAGGACAATAACCCAGACATGGAGGCACCTCAGAGTGGTGTGGCCACACCAAAGAGATTAGCTGTTCTTTCCCCAGCAGTTGGGAAAGGGAGGACCAGGCCCTGCTACCTGCCCAGCCAGCAGTGATTTTGTCATCCACAGTTCCCAGGGAAACAGAGGCAGGAAAAAGCAGGAAAAGGGGTTGCTGGGGCTCTGTCCTTCTCTACCCAGAAGAGTCAGGCCCAGTTCTGGAGAGCCCAGCAGGAGCCAGGGGTCCAGAGAGGCAGTGAGAAGTATAAGGCAAAGAAAAATGTCTTATGGTAACAGCAAGGCCTCCGGGGCTGGTGAGGCAGGCGGACGGGGGGAGGAGCTGCCTGGTTGATGGCTCTAGTTTCCATCTCCAGGAGGCATCATGGCCCCTTCCTGGGCAGAAGCCCCACATGCCTATGAGGCTGATGCCAGAAGGAAAAAGAGTCCAAACTTGGGGCTATGAGAGAAAGGGGCCAGTGGGGTGGGGGCTGGGCTCAGAGCCCCTTGGACTCAGGGCCAGGAAACAACTCCCCTTGATGGTCCAGGAGGAACTTGGTGAAAGTGTTGATGGGATTAATGGCCTTGAGGGTGATGGCAGCATCTTTGGCCCACAGCAGGTTAGGGCCGAAGACAACAGCCAGGTTAGTGTTGGTCATCTTGTTCTGGTCAGAGTGGGAAGAAATCTGTGAAGGGAATCAGAAGGCTGCAGCAGGAATCCACAGAACCCGGAGAGGTGGCAGCCCCTCCCTTTACCCCCTAGGTAAGCTGTAGAAGCTGAGGCTGAGGCTGAGGCCTCACCTGCACCAGGAAGGTAGTCAGGAAATGAAGCACTTGGTAGTTCTCCTCAGGCAGTGTCTGGAGGACCTGCAGTGTCACCTCCACCCTCTGGCTCTCATCAATGTCTAGGAGCAAAGGGGCCAAGGTGGAAAGTGCCTGGGCTAGGCTGGTTCAGGGAAGGTTCCTACAGACTTTCCTTGGACAGACTTAGGCCCACAAGCCACCAGGACAGGTGGCCAGATGGCCAAGCACATCTGCCCCAAGTCAGGTTTGGCAGAAGACCTGCACAGCTCAGGGAGAGAGGAGGGACACTCACTGAGGAAGCCCACAACGTGGGGGTAGAGGTCAAAGGTTAGCAGAGGCTCCGGAAGCTCCCGAAGGAAGGTCTTAAGGATGACTGCTGGCAGGTGTAACTCATTGTACTGGTCAAAGTCCACAGGCAGCCCTGGGTGGGGGGGCAGTATGGAGAGGGGCTTATGCCTGCTGCCCACTGTCCAGCTCTGCTCTCAGTCCTGCATGAGCCTCTTCTTCCAGCACTGTCTTTCTGCTTGCCTCCCCTCTTCCCTTGGACAAGGAGGTAAGGCTTCCAGCCATGGAGGCCCTGGGTTCCAGCCATCTGGGTACAGTGGGCCCCCAGTACACACTGAGTTACTCCTTATCTCTGCATGAACCTGAACCCAGAGCCTAGGAGCCTAATCAATGAGGCAGCAGGCCTGCGACAGCCAGGCAGTAGACCTATCCAGTGACACCAAGTGCCACCCAAACTGCTGACAGGCAGGCAATCTGGGGCCCTTCCTTATAGGGCACAAAAGGCAGAGTCACCCCCCCCCCCCACCTACCAAAGAGGATCCCTGTTGGCTGTGGGCCTGGCCACAGTCCCCGCTCACCCATGTTGTACTTCTGTTGCACTTCCCGCACAAGCTGTGTGTTGGCCGACCTCCGGAAAATCCCCTCAGTGGTGAGAGCTGGAAAATGGTGAGGCCTGGTAAGTCTTAGGGTTCTGATTACAAGGTTCAGGGTCAGGGGTGCTAATGCACACAAGACCTCTCTCAGTCCTGCCCAACAGCTTCCTGAGGGGACTGGGAGATCCAGCTAAGGAGGATGGGGCCAGGCACCATGGCCAGCAGGCCCTGGGCGCTGAGCCCTAGCACTCACCGTGGGCCTGTAAGTAGGCAATGGTCTCCTTGAGCACAATCGGAATGGGCTCCTGCTCTGGGTTCTTCTCCTGGAGGCTGTGGGAACAAGTGCAGTGAGCTGGGTCTGCAGCCCTTCCAGGCTCCCAGCCAGGCCTGGCCAGCCCCCTCTGCATACTCACTGCTGCAAGGAGACCCCAAACTGCTGGTTGGGCAGTGGTGGCCGTGGCGGCATTGGCTTGGGGGCTGTTGCAGGGCTTTTCTGTGTGGATTTAAGGAAGTCATCGTATCTGCGGGAGTGAAGGAAGAGGGATCAGGCCCTCTGCCTGGTTAGAGTCTCCATGACAAACTTTATAAGGCATTTACTGTGCTGTTTTGCAAAACAAGACTTTTTTATGTAATCCTCATAACAGCCCCGCTTTACACATGAAAAAACAGACTCTGAAGACATCCAGTCCCACAGCCTTTACAGGGCAGAAATGGGGTTTGCACTTGCTCCATCCGACCCCCGGACAGTTTCTGCATCATGACGCTTACTTCCACCAGGTGTCCTGGCTTCTCCCCTGAGCAGGCTTGTCCTGCCCTGCAAATAGCATGCACCCTGCCCCGCCTCACTTGAGCACTTGGCGAGGGATCCCCAGTTGCTCCAGCTTCACGTGCTCACTCAGCTCACTCAGGTAATTCACATAGAAGATCTTCCGCCCAAACTTGAAGCTGCCAATAGAGGAAAGGGCCTGGGTAGGGGTGTGCCCGTGGTGGCAGGCCCTACTCTCCTTCAACAGCCCTTCCAGACCGAGGCCTATCCTCAAACCACGGGTGCTTGGTATCTACTGTGGAGTTCCAAGGGAAGCATGGGTTCCACCTGCCCCACCCACAGCCACTCACCTGATGAGGGGCTTAAAGAGGATGAGCAGGGTTTTGATGAACATGGTAGGGTGCACAATGTACAGGGCTTTGATGTTCTTCTTGTACCTGCAGAGGCAGAATGGGGAACTTGGGAGCAGGGCTGGTGGGATAGGACACAAAGCTAGGGTCTCAAAGTATATTTTCTGATTCAACATGCACAGTAGCATGTGTGCTCAGAGCCACTGCTGGCCCACTTTACAGATTAGGAAACAGGAGGCCCGGAGAGGTTAAGTAACATGAAAGTTCACAGCGTGGATAAGCAGAGAAGCTGGGATGTAAGCCCAAGTCAGCTGTTCTGACTTCAGAGTCTTTTTATTTACCCAGATGGGGACACCTGCCTCCCCCTGACATGGAGTGAGTTCCTGCCAAGTAGAGGGCAGCTCAGAACCCAGCAGAGAAGCTAGCTCCAGAGCCACCTGCCTAGGCCCTGGAACCCACACCTATGCTCAACCCACTTGCGGTCAAACTCGCGGTAGGCATCCCGGAGCCAGCTGAGCGAGGGCTTGTTGTCGCTGGTCAGGCCGTGGTGTAGGTAGAGCAGTGTGTAGTCGCTCTCCACATACTGGTCCAGGGTGTGCTTCAGGTACCTTCCAGAGAAAAGCCCTGCTCAGGCCTGCCCTGTGCACAAGTGTGGTCCCCATTAAGACAGAAACTGGTGCCCTGAGATCTCTAGCTATGTCATCTCCATTCCCCACAAACCCTCCCCTGCAAGGTCTGTTCTGGATGCATAATCAGTCACTATGTCCCTGTGAGGATGCACAGGACTAAAGTCAGGAGACGAGGTCTCTAATCCAGGATCTCTCATATACCTGGAATAAAAATGAGAATGACGGCTCAGTGCTCATAACAGCACAGTGGTTACAGTGCTGGCCACATACACTGAGGCTGGTGGGTTCAAACTCAGCCCAGGCCAGCTAAATAACTGCAACAACAACAAAAAATAGCTAGGCGTTGTGCAGGGCGCCTATAGTCCCAGCTACTTGGGAGGCTGAGGTAAGAGGATCACTTGAACCCAAGAGCTTGAGGTTGCTATGAGCTAAGATGCCATGGCACTCTACCAAGGGTGACCAAGTGAGACTCTATCTCAGAAACAAACAAACAAAAAAAATGAGAATGACACTGCCCTCATGGGATTGCCCTGAGTCAGTCAGTAATGATGATGACAGTCACCATTTATTAATATTCAGCTTATAGTGTCTGCTAAGCACATCACATACATCATCTCATTCTTCCTCATAACAGAGGCTGATGTTATTCCCAATCTCATAAATCAGGGAAATGACCAGAGAGGTCAATGCTTATCCAAGGTCACACAGCTTGTGGTGGAGCCTAGAAATGAAGTATCTGACTCCAAAGCCTCAAAGCCTGTATTCTTGACCATAGTACAGCATTGCATTTTGTTTTTTATTTTCTTTCTTTCTTTCTTTCTTTTTTTTTTTAGAATTATAAGTGGGAGCTCAGGGGTCCCTTGTCCGTTTGTGGGATTCCAGGAATGGTACCGAGTGTTTGCTCCACTCTGCTTTTATTGAAGTCTATTTGCTCAGAGGGTGTATGAGGGAGGGAACAAAGATGCCAGCAGTTTCTGAGTGAGCATATCAGCTCCTATTGTAGCCTTGAGAAATCTGAAATCTGAGCCTTGTATTAGGAGAGCCTCCCCCTTGAGATCACACACACAGAATTCAAGGGAGGTGTTAAAACTCTGCTAGTTCCCTGTGGACTAAAACACCACCTGTATTAATCTCTGAGGAATTGGTAGAAAGGAGGAATTTTCCTTCCATCCCCAGCACAGAGGATCTTCCTCTGTGATAAGGGATATAAGCTCTTCTGCCCATATCTCAGGGCTTGAGCTACTCCTTTGATCTCTGCCCCAGGCAAATACAAATCTCCACAATGGGTCTCTGCTTGGCCTGTTTACTAGGCAGGAGATGACCCAGTATCTTTCTAGGTCTTGTCATAGCCTCTTCTATGACCATTGTTCCTCAGAGGGCTCACAGACCCAGCAGGGGTGTTTGTAACCTGTATCCCCAACAGGCTAGAATTTCAGAGAAAGCAGGATGCTTGCTAGCAATGGCTAGCTTAAATGTAAACTAAAAGTGCTTTATTTAATTGTATTTGTGGGTTTATTTCCTTTTTTTAAAGATGGAATCTCACTTTGTCACTTCAGAGTATCGTGACATCATAGCTCATAGCAACCTCAAACTCTTGGGCTCAAGCAATCCTCTTGTTTTAGCCTCCTGAGTAGCTGGAACTACAGGAGCCCACCACAAAGCCCAGCTAGTTTTTCTATTTTTAGTAGAGATCTTACTCTGACTCAGGCTGGTCTCAAACTCCTTAGCTCAAGCAATCCACTTGCCTTGGCCTCCCAGAATGCTAGGATTACAGGCATGAGGCACTGCACCCAGTTGGAAGTGAAGTGTCTGACTCCAAAGCCTACATTTGTGACCATGGGACAGCTCTGCCTTTTACAGGTGAATGCTGGCATAGGCTGTAAAACACTGTGCCTGTGAGAGGTGATCGAGGTGGCCAGAAGGTCATTGCTGTTCCAGTCACTTAGCTGTTAGTAGACTAAAGAGCCTCATTTCCTTAGGTTCACTGCATTCATGACATGGTACCTACCATCTTGACATACACACACTTGATGCTGAGTACAATGAGAAGAATGGATGGAATGAACAAGAATTTGGGTGGGGGGGTCTAGTATGAAGCCCTCTTTCTGGCTAGCCAACCAGCTCCCAGGCTGCAGCAGAGACAACACTTCAGGCTAGGAGGCTGAGCAGGCAGAATTCTAAGGATTTCCTAGGTGAAGCAAGAAGCTTGAGGAACTGCCCAGATACTATGTACAACTTGACCTAATCCAGAGAGAGTAACCTGGATGCTGGTCCATGCACTGGGCTGGGTCCGCACAGGCAGGCGTGTGAGTGATATGGTTAATGCTGGACTCTGATTGTGATTCCCATTGTTATTACCTACACAATAACTTAACTCTTCTACACATCAAGCAGTTTATAAAGTGCTATCATATAAATATAGTTGCACTTTGCAACTATAAAAATAGCAAAGATAGGTGGCACCTGTGGCTCAGTGAGTAGGGCGTTGGGTCCATATACCGAGGGTGATGGGTTCAAACCCAGCACTGGCCAAACTGCAACAAAAAAATAGCCGGGTGTTGTGGTGGGCACCTGTAGTCTCAGTTACTCAGGAGGCTGAGGCAAGAGAATCACCTAAGCCCAAGAGCTAGAAGTTGCTATGAGCTGTGACACCACAACACTCTACTGAGGGCGACAAAG